ATCAACATTTGTCCAAATAAATACATATAATAGTATACTTAATACCTTTCTATTTTTCTGCTGTACAACTAATAAAAAATAAGTAAATAATATTGAGTAACTATAGTACAAGCTACAAGTAATTAAAAAGTAAGTAGGTACCTATGAAATATTTATTTACCTGCAAAAAATTCTCTTAAACTTGTTTATATTAACGTATGACACCCCGCCACAATCAAATACGAATAACATAATAAATTTAATTATCACTGTGTACAACTATGAAATTATAATCAAAAAATACATCATGTTTCATGACGAAGTACTCTTCATTTTTTCTCTTCAGTTTCATGTCATTATTTTTATTATTTTATCAATGAAGCTTATTGTTCAGCTCTGTAACGGCTTAATAAAGAATTTTATTAAAAAATTATAAAATATATATAGATAATTTTAAAGTTAAAAGCAAATGCCAAATAACCTCCTCGGTATATGTTAATATTTTTACTGGACCACAGTATGTATATTCATACATTAATATTCAAACACAATAACGTCATTCATATTCATAATTTAATTTAAGTAATTTAACTATCTGTTTTCATTTCCATACGTGTGTGATTTTTTGGTAATACCACATAAACCTATGGTCGCTAAATTCCCCTGTTTCTTTTTATAAGCGAGACATGTTCTGGTACACACGCTTTTATTTCCATTAATTTACATACATAATCGTTCAAAATAAACAACAGGAAAAAATAAATATCATCTGCAACAAACAAATGCTATCATTATCAAACAGAATTTTTCAAATTTTAATTTCATTATGAGGCTATTATACTTTTCATTCACTTTTACCTCCTAAAATGTATTCATAAATACTGAATTAGTTGATTTCCATTAATTATTGTACCTATTTTATTTTTATTTCTATTTACCTGATATTTGTTTTTATAATTAGATGTATTATAAGGAATGTTTTCAAATAAAAAAATGTTATATAGATTTAATTTTAATAGCAATGCTCTTGTTTAAATTTTATAAATCAAAGAACACTTTTCTAAAAATGTCGATTAATAATGAATATCAATTGTGTGGGAGTTTTTCGAATTTAAATAAATAAAGTAGGATACCTCACCACTCTTTGCATTTAAATTTTCAATGATTATAAATAATAAAGCGCAAATTCAGGATTTGATTTTTGGATACGCAACATTTTCATTTATTTAAAAACTTTGAAAAAAAACATATTTATTTACAGTTACAAATGTTAACTTTTTAAGGTACATACAAAATACCATAAAATAAATTATACATTTCTAAAATATCATTGTTTTGAAAAAATAATAGAACAAATTCATCTGGATTATCTTGGTTTTAGGTAATAACTTATCCTTCCTCAACATTAAATTGTTAATTTATCAAGATAAAAATTGTCGTATTATGTTTGAAAATTATAAATATCAACACTTTTACAACACATTTTTTCAACACATTTCTTAAAAAATAATTAGAATCTAATAAATCACATCTCATTTTTTATTATTTTAAAAGATTAAAAATATTCTATGGTGACAAGTTATACATCACCTCTATGTAAACTCATAATATTATATATTTCATTACATCATACCCATCGTGTTAAAAAATAATGAAAATGCTACCGTGGTCATAAATTTGAATTTCAAAGTGACTTTACCTAATTATCGCATTCAATAAACGATCGATTACGGACAGATAATTGATCTGTTCAAAATGTAAAACGTAGTCATTTGAGAATTAGCCAGGATTCAACGCAATATGTTGATTGCGCCTACATTACGTTACACATAATATAATATGCAATCGTGAACGTCTTCTTACTTGTTGTAGGTATATTTCTGTAACCGATCACATGTTAATTAAAGTAGTATCTGTAGTCTGTATGTATAGACAACCGCAACTTATAATATCCATTATACATTAAGTGTATTTAATTATGTAGGTCATGATGATGGTGACGTGTTCACCGGAAGCGTGCACACGACACTGGTGTGCGTTTCTATATGGGTGTATATATAAACATCGTATTATTTTAGTGACAGGGATTTTATCTGACCGACAATTGATTATATTATAACATCGCAATAATATTACGATGTGCCGGAATATTTTCTGCATTCTGACGAATGTTCGAACGGGGGTGGGGATATTTTATCAAAATCGAGTAAAGGGTTTATCGATCGAAGTCGTCGGCGTGTGTGAGAGATAAGGAGACACCCCTACACCCCCACCGCGGCGCTCGCTCGTATTGTTACCACTACCGAACTTCAATTCATTTTTTTTCGCTCTCCTTTTCTTTGACAATACCAAATTCACTCTATTAGAGCGCACTAGCATCCCTACCGTCACGTCATTAACTTGCCTGCCCGAGCTATGAGCACGACGACGCGGACGATAAATAATTATCATTATTTGCGTCCATGATTAATCCTAGCTGTCGTTAACCGACCCCACAATAGCAGCCCCCCTCCCATAGTTTGTTTTTCGGTTTTTTTTTTTTTTTTTTAATTTTTGTTTCGCGAACGCGTATAATATTCATAATAATATAATATATAATATAACAGTCGTCGACCGCGGGAGAAGTGATGCCAACGGTGTCATTATATAAGAACGAGGCACTAAAATTTGTATATGACGTTTATGGGTTGCTATTTTTCGGGCTAATGGCAATGACGGAGATATTGTGGCACGCATTGTGCTCGTGTATTTAGAGACGAAAGCTCGATTTCTCGCGTTTGCTGTAAAAGGATTTAGATGAAATGCCGGTGACAGCAGCGATCGCACAAGAACCGATATTAATATTATATCTAAGAACCTTTTGTTAATAATAATTGTTCTATCGACAAAACAAAAGCCGACGATTGCTATATACAAATATGATATATTATTACGCTTTTTATTTTTAATTTTTTATATTTTTATAAAAAAATAGGCATTCCGATTTACGCTGTCGACATATCATGAATAAAAATATATTATGTAAATACCAAGTTCGTTCTCATATAATTTAAGAACTCTTTTATGCACAGTAATATTTTTGAGTAGGGATAATATAGGTAAGCGAATACCCAAATTATATGTACCGATTGCGTGTTTAAGAGTGTGTGCAAGTGTGATTCATTTTGTCGTACACAAAAACCACGGACCGTTGTTCGAACAAAGTATTAAATGATATTGTGTCCTCGTTACTTATCGTAGAACCATATATAAATTAAAAGCCATGCTTAACCCAATGTTTTTAATACATTTTCTACACTATTCATATTTACTTAGCTTAGGTAAATAAATCTCCATATAAATAATGTATATTCGTTTTACTGTCAATAATAAAAGTTATTGTTTCCTTGAATGTTATAGGTTTTAGAGAAATATCATTTTAATACAAATTTATTTGGGTGGGTACGTATAAATATTATGTTATATTTTTATAAAAACTCTAACATTCTTAAAAATTCTAGTTTTTACAACCATTTATCACCATCAGTGTCAATCACAGTTATTACCCATAGACGAATGCCTAGATTACTGCAATCCAGTGTAAAGCGTTGATAATTTAATTCGAACAAATATCGATCTGTTTATATTATCCAGATAAAAATAATCTTTTGATACATCCATTTAAATAAAACGGTTATCAGAGATAAATTATATAGATTATAGATAATAATATTTTGTGGCTTGTTATTTTTGTTTTTATTTTTGTAGAGTGAAGATGTAGATTTGTTCGTATATAAAGCACTCTTATTTACGAATGACAAATTGTACCTAGTGAGAAATTTAACCCATATTATTAAAATAAACCTAAATGTAAAATAAATTAAATAGTGCTGATTTTTATTGAACAATATATTAAACTCTGCAGTCTATACAACTATACAGTAGTATTTTGTATATACGCGATAAGTATTATCGTATACTTGCATTAGTTATGCCGAAATATTCAAATAAATTATAATGAACGCATTTAAAATATCATTCAGTGGTATTTTGTCCGATTTTAAATACATACAACGTCGGATTAACTGCTATGTACCATAAGTAGCTAACCTGAATAATAAGAATACCAACCACCGACTACTATAAATACCAAACTGACAGCAGTACACTTGGGCAAATAGAAAAAATGTTTTTTACATAAAAAATGATAGAGATTTTTTTTAATTGAACTTATTAAATGCATCCGAAACATGGTCATTAATATTACAAATAAATTTGAATTGTAGGTCAGTTTAAATAAATATTCATTATATGTATATACATATTAATATTTAAAAGTTAGGTAAATATTATAAAGAACAAAATCTTAAATAAATATTGGTATAATATTATATAATATTGTGAAATATTAAAAAGAGCTTAAGTTATATATTTTCAGTTATATTTTTCAGATTTTTGGGTTTTGAGTCAAATATCAATTAGATTGTTTGAAAACAAAATAATTTCATGACATAGATTTTTAAAATTGTTCGATTATATAATGAATTTTAACAAAATCATTTTTTATATAAAAACCATTAAAAACTATGATAAAAAAAATTATAATAAAGTAAAAGTTGAGTGATTAAATATGTTTCAATACACCTTTAAGGCACTTAAAAGTATACACTCCTCTGTGAGTGTCAATTTTGATTACCTATAGTGTAATCATAAAATTTGTCCATGAACATTTTATCTGGTACAATCCGTAGAAGGTCGTATATCATTTTTTACTATTTTTATGTAGTGCTTAAAACTATACTTCTTCCGCATTAATCAGGAATTTTTGTTTTTATGTGTTGTATATTAAATTTATTAAATTTTTAGTTACATATAAAAAAAGCCTGACGGAATTTAAATACTAAATATATGTCACAGTCCTAGTGCTTGATATTGGTGTAATAATTATATTTTTCTATGAATCAATATAAATTTGGCTTCACCTAATTACTGTTATTATAATATATTTTTTTAAATATCTTAATGTATGATTTGAATTTTAGTTGCCCCAATTGGATGCGTCTGGCCAAGATCCAGGAGGAAGAAGATTTCGAATCGAAAATGGTGACTCTCTGGGAGAAAAAGAAGAGGTAACTAAAAACTACCTAACTATCTTTAAAATAATTGTAATCAAACACTTAGAATTTCAAAAACTTAAGTTGTAATTTCTAAGTGAAATGTATTAAGCTTTCACATTCACTCATACGTAATGTGTGTATGTATAGAAATGTTGTTTTAATTAAGTTTACAATGTACAACATGTTCCTGCTGTTATAAAGCATTTGCGTTATTTAAATTGCAACTGCCTTGTGCATCGTGTGGCCCAAACCTTATTGTATAGTATGTTTATAAATTGAAATATAAACGAATGCATAATAAGTAATAACCATAAATGACATAAGCATTGTGATATAAGTAAGACGTGAATTATAATTCTTGTAATCTTGAGCAGAACTTATCTTGTCATATTAAAGTGCTCGTATAAATAAAAAGTGTGAAATAAAAATAAAATAAAAACAAGAGATAATTTTACAATATTTTTATTAAACATATTTACATTTATGCGTAATGTAATATTTTGTTTTAAGAAATGACATATAAAACTATTGGTATTAGTGCAGGATAGTGTGACGTTCTTCTGATACTAACAATTAATATAATTATTAATTGATGCCAGGTACCTACATACAAATACACATTAGTTTTCAAGAAATATGTCAGTATTTGGTTGTTCCGCATTAATTTCAACTCAAAATGTATAATAATAACATTATATATTTTTTATACTTATTAATTGAATCGTGGCAATACACCAGGTATTTTTATAATGTTAATATTATATTAATTATATTATAATAACTCCAAACATTATTCAATTCGGTAATCTCAGTCCATCGTTACACGTGCAAAATTCTATGATATAATACATTTTGTATCAAAACTTTTGAGTTAATTCAGCTAGGTCAAAACGAAAAATTCTATAGAATATAAATTATCATATATATATAAAGGTATAAATATGTATATAAATGCAATAATATATATATTACTCAATTTCACGAATAATTCAAATAAATAATATTGTAGTTAAGTGAGTCACAGGAGCGAGCATATCTTGATGTTTGAAGGTAATGGTGATTAACTTGTTGAATTCTAAAATATGGTTCTGAGGGCGAGGATAGATTTCTTCATGGTTATTACGACGTTTTTCCCGGTTTCTCAGAAACTAAAGAGTACAGGAAAAAAGAAAAAGTACCTTCTATCTAAGCCGTATCATCAAGCTTTTGACCATTTTTTACTCGAATAATTTAAGAGAGACATTGTAAATAATTTTCTATACTTACTTAATTTGTGAACATTTTTAAAATACATGACGTAAATAAAATAAAGTTTGAATAGATACATTAATGATGAACAAAATCCAAAATTAAGTAGAATACAATTTGATTATCATTATGAATCAGATTTTCTAGCATACAAATTCATAAATACAGGGCACGATCTGATTAAGTTCACATTTTTATATTTCGTTTGCTGATTTAAAAATGAATATAATTTTTGAGGTAGCGTCGACAAGATCAAGTTTAAACACTGTCTTAACTTTTAACAATAGCACTGTCTGTTTCAACTGATTTTCATAAGCATCGATTTTGTACCATTGTAGAATAAGCTGATAAGTATCCAATAAGTCAATTTTGGCCTTTGGAATTAAACATTTATGAAGACTGAAGATTACAGTCGAAATTGTACTGTGTCAAAATATGATATCTGTTATTACAGCTGATATAAAAATAAAGTCTCAGATATCATATTTTGACACAGTAAAATGTTGACCGTATTCTCCACATATTATGCTTAATCCAAAAATCTACTTTCAGGCACTTAGCTGTTTTTTCCACTATAAAATTTTTGATCAGTAAATTAAAATATTTTGATAAATAAATTATTTTTCTACATCGAGTTTTAATAGATATTAGCTTACTACGTACAATTACATTTTATATTTCTTTATTTATCAGTAAGTACACCTACTGATATACACCATTATTAAATGATACAGTCATTATAAAATCGTTTAATATTCAATTATGTATAAGCAATAGGAAATGATAATGAATTTAATCGTAGGAGTGGATCAAAAATTTGGGGGTTATCCATGGGCATTGTAATATACACAAAGCTCAGATTACTTAGATAATAGATATTTCAAAATGTATGTAACCTTTAGATTATAGTAATATACTAATATGTATATATATTATATAGACATTAGCCATATACGCATGTTTAAAGTTCATGTTAATGCATGATTCGTAGTAAAGTTTTATAATTTTATTACATTTGCCTAAAGAAATATATTATTAAATTGTTCACATATATGTATTACCTAAAAAAACTCATTATGATTACATGTAGGTATTTTTATTAACACCGCACATACTAAATATTAACACACTTCATATTTAATCCTTAAATTTTATTTTGTGATGGGTTTTCACGTTTTTTTTGTTATGCTTGAAAACGACAGTTATCTTAATTATTAAACTTTTTTATCTGTAAACAAAAATAATACTAATACGTTAGTACGTTTGTTAACACTCGCCAATCTCCAGACCCACTAAACCAAATGTGATCATATTTTACATACGCCATATTCCTTGAGGCTTGGGTAGTGTTTGTAGCTTCACTTTCAACTCATACAGAGCAGCTCACACAAGTATTTCGTGAATTACAAAAATCGAATATTTTTTTTGTTTATATAATATAGGGTTGTCTTAAGTTAGCAAAGAGACGAACATGATATATATGTATTTATTTATATACTCGTATACTCGCATATATACATACAAAATAGTTAATGTATTTTTTTAGTTTTTATATGTATTCAAAAATGTGTCGACCAAATTTAATGAATATTTCAGAGATAATTTAGAGAAAACAAGAATTTTTAGAAAATAGTTTGCATCACGTTTGAAAGTGTACCAAGCGTGCTACATATATCCAATCCGCCACAGGCGGTTGCCGATCGCAGTCAAACTTGCTCGTGAACTGAGGTACACTGAAATCGAGATACACCTACATTAAAGCTGTATTTTATATTTGTTAATGTTTTCCGAGGAGAAGTCGGGTTTTAGAGATAGTTTAGGTATATTACTTGACAGGCACAGGTCCAAAGTACAGAATAGTATTAAGATAATATTTACATTTGTTACTTAAAAGTTGTAACATCTGATTACTAACTAATTTATAACTTATCGACACATTTACATAATTAGTTGAGCTAATTTTTAATACATATTATGCATCATTATGCTTCAAAGTTCAAGAATTAGAGTTAAATTATAGTTTGCTAACAATTGGAATTTACTACTTTATTTTAGGCTCTTAATTACACAATTTTCACTAAAATTCTCGATTTATTTATAGCCCTGATTCAGAGAATATATTTTCTACACCTAGATAGTAGATATTATTAAATTATATTTTATTTATTCTTATTACATATTTATTTAATTTTTAAATGTTGAACCAATATTATTTAATATTGGTTAATATTTATTTTTATTTTTATTTTTTAATTTGTTCAACTGCTAAATAACAACGCTTGTAAGTTATAATTTGAGCTTTTTCGGTAAAAAAATATGTATATCACATTATGATTTTATGATCACATACTTTATTTATACCTAGAGGTATAATAGAGGTACAATTACAAATTACAATCAAACTATCGCCTCTTATTTTGAAAATTATAGCGTTATGCTTATAACGTTTATTTGTACTTTGGTTTTTTGTTGAACTAGTTAGTAATTTTATAACAGAACAGTATCGGTCCATAAAAAAAAGTTAAGATCTTATAAAAAATTGAATTGTTTATGGCGATGGGCAATCATTTCACACAGAGTATTATACTTATTTAAAACACTCCATATCATTACTTTTGAAACATAAACTAAAACAATAAAATAATTGTGCTAATATATTATAGATATATGATTACACAACACAGATGAAATTCTATGGATAATAATATTTTATAATATCTTATATTTTCATATATTAGTCACATAATGTAATTATTGTTCTGTTCAGGTAATAATATACTATGGATAGTATAAATTATATACAGAGATAATACCTGTAAAAATGTTTTTATTAATATTGTAACTAAAAGTAATGTAACCGTCCTCATTTTTATGCCATAAGGCTTAGATATAATATGTATAGATTTCATTTTAAACTAAACTGAATTTTCCTCTTAAACTATCCAAAGATTATAGATCATTTTTGCAGAGATTTTCCTTCTATAAAAAATGTTCTAAATTAATTTTACACACTAAAGTTGCCCTAAAAAATGCATCCAAGTATATTTTATTTAGTTGAATTAATTAATTTTATTTATTTTTAAGTGCATTTTAAAATGTCAAATATATCCAATTTATAAATAGCCGTCTGTTATTCACATAATAATCAACAAACTTTTATATTTATTTATACGTATAAGTGAATGTACAAAGAGATAAGGATACTTCTATAATACCGTTGTACTATATTCCAAGTCTTAAATAATTTATTAGTATTTTAAGATAAAAAAAACAATTTAAAAGTCATGCTAACTCTTTCTATAGGTATAAAAAAAATTTAATTCGCATTTAAATTTTTTAATAATACTTTAAAGTAGTTTACTCACTTACTCTTAAAGTTTTAACATAATATTTAAATCATTATATGGACTGTGATAATAATAATTATTATTGTTGTTTATTTATTTGTTAATATAACAACATACAACATATTATATTACATTAAAATCAACAATTAACACCTTCCCAACAAACATAGCTTGTGATAGGGAATGGTTTGTTTAAATCAAGAGAATATATAATTAATAATCAATGAAAAATACATTTTAAGTTATCAAAACAAAAAGGAAAATCTTCACTTGCTGAAAGTGCCTATGTATAGTAATCTTACCTATGACCTATTTACTAACTCTTTGCAGTAATTTTTGGTTTTTATGCACACACTTTTCCCCAAAATACAAAAACTTATGATATCGGCATATCGCTAAGCAAATTGACCCTTAACG